TGCTGTTGGGGCCCATCTTTGGAGCTGAGGGTGGTGGTACCTCGGTCTCTGTGGTGATGGCTCAGACCCCACGTGATGTCACCTTATTCCTTGTGTGTATGGTGTCATCTCTGTCTACACGTGGTGGCACCTCAGTCCCCCTCACCTCCTCCCCCCCGTGGCACCCGAGTCTCTGTGGTGATGCTTATATCCCCACGTGTTGGCATCTCAGTCTGTGCGTGGTAGCACCTGAGTCCCCATGTGGTGATGGTTCTGTCCCCATTTGGTGACATCTGTGTCTCTGCATGGTGATGGCTCAGCCCCCATGTGCTGGTAGCTCAGTCCCTGTGTGGTGGCGCTTCTGTGCCCACGTGATGTCATGGTTCAGTTTCTGCCTGCATGGTGATCCCCATTCCCCCCATGGTGTTCCCTCAGTCCTGCAGGGATGTGGCTGCACATCATGACCCCATTCCCCCCTGGTGATACTCCTGTCCTCATGGTGACTCCATTCCCCTGGTCCCCAGGGATATGGCTGCACTTAATGACTTTCATCCCTAGCATGATGGCCCCTGGTGACCTTGTCCATGTCCCCAGGGTTGAGGCTGCACTTCCCTGTGCTGGTGCGAGGCCTCACGGCGCAGTCAGCAGCTAAGGCCCAGCTGGGGCTGGGGCACAGCTACTCCCGGGCCAAGGTCAAGTTCAACGTGAACCGCGTGGACAACATGATCATCCAGTCCATCAGCCTCCTGGACCAGCTGGACAAGGATATCAACACCTTCTCCATGCGCGTGCGGTGAGCTGAGGGGGTGAGGGCAAGTTAGGGTCGCCCCACGCTTACCACAGGTGGGACTGGGGAGGTTTGGGGGGCTCTAGGGCAGTCGGGGTCTCCCCATGCTTACCACAGGCAGCTGCTGCTCCAGCTGTGTGTACAGACCGGGGAGGGACAGCAACATCCCAGGGCCACCAGCCAGGACACGGAGTCATGGCTGGGGACCCAGGGGGACACACAGGCCATGGAGGGACACATGGGGCCGTGGTGGAGTACCTGGTGGGACACACAGGCCCACAGTAGGGGACTTGGCGGAGAATCTATAGAGCTGTGGTAAGGGGGTCTGGAGGGACATGCAGAGCTGTGGTGGGGGATCCAGGGGGAATACACAGTCGGTACTGTGGCAGAGGATGTGGGAAGGAACATGGAGCCACATTGGGGGATCTGGGGGAACACACGGTGCCATGGTTGGGGACTTGGGGGGACACAGAGCGAGGTCAGCACTGACCCTGTCCCTGTGCCCTTAGAGAGTGGTATGGGTACCACTTCCCTGAGTTGATCAAGATTGTCCCCGAGAACTCCATGTACTGCCGAGTGGCCAAGTTTATCGGGAACCGGCGGGAGCTGAGCCAGGACAGCCTGGAGGGCCTGGAGGAGATCGTCATGGACAGCGCCAAGGCCCAGGCCATCCTCGAGGCCTCACGCTCATCCATGGGTGAGGGGCTGGGGGAACACAGCTGGGTGCTCAGTGCTGCTTTGGGAGGACTTGAGGGGGGCACAGCTGTATGGTCAGTGTTGCTCCAGGGGGTTGGGGGGCTCCCGTCTGTGGTCAGTGCCACTGCTCACTTCCTGCCTTCCTGCAGGGATGGACATCTCCCCCCTGGATCTCATCAACATCGAGAGCTTCTCCCGCCGCGTTATCTCGCTGTCAGAGTACCGTAAGGGGCTGCAGGAGTATCTGCGCTCCAAGATGAGCCAGGTGGCACCCAGCCTCTCGGCCCTCATCGGGGAGGTGGTGAGTGTCCACGGGGACCCCATGGCCGTGGAGATGATGTCAGAAGTGAATCTGTCAATCCACTGAGCTGTGCTGCTGACGCCTCACTGCTGATCCCCGGCCTGAGGGGGCTGTGTGTGCCGCGGGTGGCTCTGTATGACCTGGGAGGGCTGTGTGTGCCCTAGGGGCACTGTGGGGTTACTCTCTGGGTGCCCTGGGGATGGTCCCTGGGGGGTGGAGAAGCCCTACCCCCGCTCTGCCCCCCAGGTGGGTGCTCGCCTGATCTCCCACGCCGGCAGCCTGACCAACCTGGCCAAGTACCCTGCGTCCACGGTGCAGATCCTGGGGGCCGAGAAGGCTCTCTTCGGGTACCGCTGCAGGTGGTCACAGTGATGGCAGGGCCTGGGCCACCAGCTGTGACACGCTGGCCCAGCGAGGGTGACCAGCTGGCCCCAGTGCTGAG